ATATATATATATATATATATAGTGTCACTGGTTAGTAAATAATCATAATAATTAACTTATCAAAGTTAGAAGACTTAATTATTAAATAATAAATATCATGCTCAAAAGTTGGAATAATTTGGAAGTATATGTTTTTATTTAAAAAACACACATTTTACGGATGTACAAAACTCTAGTTTTAACAGACTATTCAATTCTACCGTTACTATACCTACTACGATCTTGTCACGCATTTATTACAGGATTTTTTCAGCGTTTTTGTCACGCAAATAGCCACGTAACTTTTATACACATGAAGACACATGTTGCATAACTTGTTGTTCTTCAATTTCTCCAATAATTTTAATTTTATTAATATATCAAAGTATCCAAAGTTATTGCATTATATACACATGGATTTCAAGATTTGTTGCTAAACATTTCAACGAAAATATTTGTAAATAGTTTCTAAAACACCAACATTTTTATATTGGAATATTTAAGAAAGAAAAACGTAAACACATAATTAAATTTACATAAAGAAAGCAATTTAATTAGGAAACAAAATGTTATTAAACATTATATATCGTTGTGATAAAAGCGTATATTTGTACACGTGGGTGTTACAGCGAATTGCATTTTTGTTAATCGCTATACTAAAACCAGTTTGAGATTGCAAAAGGTCGATGCGTGAAAGGCGGAGAATCGGGAAACCTTCCTTTTCACGAAATACATTAATTCAACTTTCCGAAATGCTATAGCGGCGTAAAATTATTCGCACAAATATTATATTGCACATTGCAATATATGTATCGTCTCGCTGTTGTTATCTGACGATCCTCATACATTATAGTAGGTATTACCAAGAATACATATGTTGTACACTTCCGCAAGTACACATTATATCACCAATGCAGTCGGTTACTTATCCGATTTTTCACGAATAGTAATTTATTATAATTAGACTGAAAAATATGATTGGAGTGAAAATTAGTTTTTCAAATCATTAAATCATTTAATAGGTTCGTCGTTTCACAAACCGATGATACTAGAAATATGTAAAATATACACTAATATTTATAGACATCGAATTATTATAATGATTGAAGAATCAATGCTTTGTATTAGAAAAGGCGAGAACCAAATGTTTCAAAAGAATAAACAGATAACAAAATAATTATATTGTTCGATTAACTTAAAATGAACTTTTCTTCCTCTCATCGAATTTTATTTTCGCTGTAAAAATATCTAAAACGTGATAAAAAGTAATAATCTTTCCTGACGTCGTACGTGTTGCTCTCTCTCTCTCTCTCTCTCTCTCTCTCTCTCTCTCTCTCTCTCTCTCTCTCTCTCTCTCTCTCTCTCTCTCTCTCACTCAGGAAATACTTATATATTCAAATTCATTATGAAAGAATCCGTTATTAAAATTGCGATATCTATTATATAGATATGTATATATGGCATCGTAAAATGGTCTATTTTGATTAATAACATTTTCACATATCTCATCCCACATCGCAGGCGCTGCAATATGGTAGCGCGTGATGACCCATCGGAATGTCCCAGGACAAATAAAGGCAAACGAGTCGACGGCGTTCGAATAATTAAAATTACCTGCGGGAATCATAACCGCGAGTTTTTACCTGAAGCTATTGGTAATCCCCGCTTGCAGAGGAAAAAAAAAAGGTAAAATGACTACCAAACTGCCTGAGGTATAGTCCGCGCGACGAACGTTATATACTAACTAAAGCCTTCGCATATTTCGATGATTACATAGTAAACGTATGAACGAAGTAATGCAGAACGTGGCATACAGGTGATTAATTCCGCCTGTCAGGACGCAGGCTCCTCCGATAAATAATACCTGCTGTTTACTCCACGCCATATGCTTTTACGAGGAGGACTGATTTTCTTACGCTAATGTCGCGACGGTATATATATATATATATATAATCGATCCCAATGTCGCAGAATCTAAAGAAGAGAACTCGACAACGGGTAATTAGGAAGAATCCGACCGAGCCTAGATTTGATATGATTGTGCATTTTCCACATAACACTTAATCTTCCGGTATGAGCTAGCGATCCTCGCGACGACTCGTCATCGCTTGACAATTCGCAACGTTCGACGGATTTCTATCGTTGCAATCGTCGGTCTTATCATCGCATTTTACAAAGGCAGAAAGAATTGGAACGTCATTGGCCGCAACATTGCGATATACAGCTGTCTCGTATCTTAGCATTCTTAGCGCGAGCACGCGAGACTCGAGAGATGGATGAATTGAATCGCAGTCACCAGCAATCACCAGCAGTCACCAGCAGTCACGTAGATAGATAGCGCAGTAGATGGATGGATACGCGCGGGAGGCGGGAGGCCACACACACGGTCGGTTATTATTTCGCAGAGATATGGCTCGAAGGTAATTAATAACATACTATTGTTATGATTCAGAGAGGTACGTCATGTCCGTACTTTGACTAGGCGATCTTTCAGTCTTCGATCGGAGCTCTACTGGGATACTCTGCAGGTTCGCAGCCGCTTCGTACGTCCAGGTGTAGGCTGCACGCGTAACATGACCCACATGCATGTTTCGCCGACGCCGACGCTTTGAATATACCCTACGTCTTGAGAGATAACAATAACGTGTCAGCGCTCGTGGTCAGCGGACAGCGATGTATGTGCGGCCGTGATAGGCGCTTGACTATTGCGATAACGCGACAATATAATGCACAAGTCGCCGGACGATGTCGGAAAGAATTTATAATCTAAACGATTATCATGATCGCATATAAAACTTTGTGCGAACAGTACTTGGAAGTGAATTGCGTGTGCAGTGTAATATACCTTGACATACCTGCATGCCTTTAAGTATCCAATCGAATCGCTTAACATATACATATATATATCTCGTTCAAAAAGTGATAGTCACTAACGATGCGTCGAATGCGTAAACGCTCCAAGAAATAGTCGTGGGATTTCCTCTATTATACAATACAATTCTACTGCCACGGGAAGAGCCGTATACGTATATAGTAAGATGAGCGCTTTCGTCGACAGCATCCAGGACGAGAAAACGCCGAGTGCCGTAGGTGACGCGAGATCAAATGCGAGTACCTCGCTCAGCGATGTAGGAGAGGACGCGAGAGGTAGCAAATTTAACAAATCGACTCAGAGCGATATCTCGTGGAGACTCCCTTGCGCCGGAGATCATAGACAGAGATCTAGGCCGATGTCTCTGGCATATTTGCCGACCAAGATTCCGAAACAGATGAGCGAATTGAGCTTCTCCACGCATAGCTCCAGAAGTACGTTATATCCTGTTCAGAGCGAGTTGGTTTTATCATCAAGAAATAGGCATAATAGATACGTGTCTCTGGACATGAGATCGATCAATAATCTTCCGTATCCTAGTCCGCACTCCAACAGCTACATTTTCGGCAATAGTACACCGGCGTACACGTGTTGCTGTACATGTGCAGGATCGCAGATCTCGTCACCACCGCCGCCGCCGTCGCCGCCGACGCCGCCGCCGCCGCCGCTGCCGCCGCTACCGGCACCGTTCTCACAAAACGAAACTGACGATCAGGATGGACCCGAGAACCTCTCGTGGAGGAGACTTCACATGAGCAGAGCGAAGCTAAAAGCAACTGCAACCACATCTGAACTTCTTAGTGGATTCGCAATGGTAAGCGTAATAGTAAGACATTATACATTACATTCATATTATACATTACGTTAAAATGCACAAAGATTTTATCTTCTCTAGCATAAAATAAATGATTTTTACAGATTTTTGCAAACTTAATCAAATCTTTATAACATTTTTTTTTATTTACTGCGTTAAAAGTAGTCCCTCTTGAGTAGTCACCTCAGCCATATTGAATCGTGACGTCATCAGCGAAAAATAACACTACGTTGACTTTTCTCGCATGCTATTTGTAAATAAAGAGAATCTGGATGAAATGAAATGATGAGATCGCTTTAAAATTTTACTTGTAAAAATGGAGGTCGAGACTATCCTTTCCTCCCCTGTGAAAGTCAGTGAATAGTCAAAAGAAAATAGGCTACGCATATGCGTATGCTTGAGTAAAAACTAGTAGATGCACTTTACTGACTTTCCACAGGGACGTAAGGATGTAGTCTCGGCCCATTTTTGGCAAGTGTTTTAAAGCGCTCTCAAAATTTGGTTTCATCCAAATTCTCTCTATTTACTCTCTACTTTCTATTTCGGCATGCAAGAAAAGTCAACGTAGTGTCATTTCTCGCTTATGACGTCACGATCCAATATGGCTGATGTGAGTACTCAGAAACTTTGAAAATCAGAATATTTCAATTGTTGATTAGCATAGAAATAATAATATCGAAAATGTAACATAATTTTGCTTTACGATGCCCATAATTATTTCTCAGTTATTTGATATAACTATATTACAATCATAAAAATAACGAAATGGCACTTTGAAAAAAAAATTCGCATTTTTGTTTTAACATAAATTTAAATTTTGAACGAATTAAATTGAACGTAAGATTGGGAGATGGAAAAACATTTACATTTTGATAAAGTTTGAAATCGATCTGACAATTCAGTTTTGAGGTATCATGCGGTCAGTTCTGAGTACGAGTTTTAATATTTAACAAGTTTTTTTCGTACCTATATTTAGTTATTCCAAGGATATCAGATGTCTTCCTTTATATGTATCTGAGATATTTTTTTTCTTCCTCTTCTAATCTCTCTTGTTTCGATTCTGACCTTTTTAATCACATCAATTTTGTAGAGTCACTTGATTATCAACTTTGTTAATTTTGTAAACGTCATCAAAATATTTTAAAAATATATTTTTTAGGAAAAAGAATTAAAACTGAAAAAATGCAAGAAGATAAATAGAGTTACTAAATTTTTTTAAGTTGTACATAACAAAATTCCTTTTCTTTTCTTCTTTTGCAATTGCTATATTTTTATGATATAATTTTTTCTAAATGTCTTTAGAATTTGTATTTATAAAGCAAACGTAGAAAGATCTTAACGTATTATATTAAATTATATTAAAATTAACATACTAATTAATGCGATTTACATGAATTAAACAATATACAATGTAACAAAAATAAAATAAAATTTTACTTCAAATATAATAGTTAAAAAATGTGAATATTTACCAATTGTTTGTTAATCTATATCTACTTTTCAAATATATAATATATACATGCGTTACATCGTTTTTACTTCACTTCAAGTTCAGAGCTCAGAGTTTATAAACATTTCTTATGTTTATAAACATTCTTTTATTTGTACGAAAATTTTTAATAAAATAAATTTTTTAATAAAATAAAATTAAAATGTTTTACGTTGTGTGTCTTTCATGCAATTAATTTGATTCAATTAATGGCGGTTTAATTAACTTTCCTTATTTATATGCAACAAATATTTATGAATTATGATATTTTGAAAATCATTTAAATAAAACTGTTTTCCTGGTAATCTCTAACTCAGAGCGGGCTGTACGGGATTACACAACGTTTCCTGAAAATGGTTAAATTGACGTCGACGACAATTCTATGTAATCTTCATGCACATCTGTGGTTATATAAGGCAGATATCACTTTCTTTAATCCGCTTCACTTCTCGCGATACACCTAATATCTTCTAACGTTGCAGACGATTGTAGGAAACCGTATGTATTTCACTATTTTTTCTGGTCTTTTAGGTGGCAATGGTGGAACTGCAAATAAATGAACCGACGGCGGTTCCGGAATGGCTGTTTGTAATGTTTGCCGTTTGTACCACTTTCTTGGTATCGGTGCACATCTTTGCACTGATGATCAGCACGTATCTTTTACCCAATATCGAAGCCATAAGTAAGCTTCAAGTTTCACGACTCATAACGGAGTCACCCCACGAGAGGATGCGCGGTTTCATCGAATTGGCTTGGGCATTTTCCACGATACTCGGACTGTTTCTCTTTCTAGTAGAGGTGGCTATTCTCTGCTGGGTCAAGTTCTGGGACTATTCCTTTACCGCTGCCACTGCCAGCACCATAATAGTCATTCCCGTGCTCATAGTATTCGTCGCTTTCGCTGTTCACTTTTATCACTCTTTGGTAGTTTACAAATGTGAAAGTGTGGTATCAGATATGAAGGATTTGGAGAGCATAAAAAGGAACTTGGACAACGTGACGATAGGGCAAACTAATGTATAAGTTCGAGACAATATACAACCTGTAATATATTATGTGTACAAATGATTATCCTAAATGAAAAAGAATGCATTAAAGTTAGGCCGATAGATAAGAATATCGAGTGATGTGCTACTATCGGAGTATAAATTAATTTGTGGCAGGCAGGAATACTCAGGTTTAAAATAGGTGTTATTCTTCAATTAAAAACATATCTTTAATGAGAATGACATAGAAAAAGAACACTATGTGTGGATTTGTTATCAATAACTTTACTTTTCAAACGCGACCATATGAAAATATGGTCAAGTTTTATTATATATAAAAATGTACATAGCTGTACACATGCAAGTCGAGAATTGCAACAGTACAAGCGAGTGCTCTTTAGTATATTACCTATATAATATCCAGCATTTAATAATATCTGTGTGTATACGGTTTAACACTCTTGATTTTTATTTAAACCTGTTCCTTGATCATTCTATTACTATCATATATCATGTCGCTAATATACATATATAGTATCTTTTATTACCGCGACACTTAGTTTGCGGAAAAACTGAAGGATAATTGAGTACTCATTTTATGTACACTTCCTGAAATTTACATAATTTTTCTAGTCAATAAATAAATCGTCAAAGTTTAGGATGTCCGGCGAAAAATTTGGTTTCTTACTCTAATGTTAGGAAAAAAATAAAGATATAACTAATGTATCTTTCGTTTTTACCATAAACTAAGTTGCAATCTTACTACAAACGTTTCTATAATATTATGCCTTAACTTCTTTTATATAATACAAAAACACTCGATCGAAGGAGTCGTTGTAAGCAAAACGGGGAAATATAATTACTTTAGTACAACAAAAGTATTATGTGATACCTGTTGTTATAAATTACAAATTGTATTGCACTAATCTATGTCCGAAAACTTGAACGTTTTCTTAAAGATACATGCTACATCGTATTGAAAATTCATTGCATTCGATTATTTTTGCTTAATAAGCAAAATCTCAAATTTATAGAGGCATTACGCAGATCTTATGTAAAATTTGCCTCTTGAGAACCATTATCGTATGTACATTGGAAGAGAAAAAAAATCAAAACGTACATTACAGAAATATAAATGTCATGTTGCAATACGTAACTTGATAGAAAAGAGAGAAAATACTGTTGAGAGATAAATCGATGATTTGAGCATTAACCATTGTGTTGAAAACTACTCTTTAAGAAATGACATTCTAAATTGATTAAAATCAATTTTACAAACGTATCTTTGTAACTTTCTGATGAAATAAATGGAAGTAATTAATATATATTTTATTACTTATTTTACTGATTTGTAATTATTATAAAGTATAAAAAAAAATGATTCGATTGATGTATATGTAACAATGGAGAATAAACTGCTTGTGCTATGGACAGGTAAAGAAATGAAGAATGATAATATTCAAAACAATTATTCCAAAAAAGTAACAAGATGATATTAGAAATATCTTCTTTTTATAGGATAAAATTCAAATTCTGTTTTTTTTTGTTTTTAATTTTACTTCAAAATACGAAATAATTCACGTATCTTCTCTTTATTATATTTTCTATCGGACTAAAAAAATATTTTTTTAAAATTTGTGATGATAGGATAATGTTTGATCCGAATGTTAAATCCGAAGAATCGTTAATTATGAACTATTATTCTGACATACGTATAATTTAATAATTCGCTGATTATAATGATATAAAAAATGAGTCAGGCAATCGTTAAATATGTGATTAATCTGTGGTTATGAGTTTTACGTAACTTATTATTATAAGAAATAGTATGAGAGCAGTTGTAGTTGTTCTATCTTTCTTACACACACACACACACATATATATATATATATATATATATATGTATATAGTATATTATTCTATCAGAATATATTATGTTATTTTTCATTAATCTCTATGATATTATAATTGATCTAAGAGAATGATAGAATAGAAAAACTTGTTTATCTCTTTCAGAAGAGTCACTTAATAAATTGGCTTTCGTCATATCTTCAGTCTTGTCCTTAAATAAACATATAGTCTTTCTGACAGCCTATCCATAGCAAGAGCTTGTTTAGAAAGTCTTTTTATTCAAACAAACCTTCCTGTAATTAACTTTAACAACGCAGTTTCGCGCCTTTTTCTTCTACTTACACGTGGAGAATGACAATAAACTCTACTTCCGAAATAGACTTATTAACAAACAAAGAGCAAAACAAAATATGATATCGAAAAGCGTGCCATTAATTATCGCAAATCGCAAAACTTTGTGCCCCCTTAAAAATTTACGAAAATGATAATAAATATATACAATTATTTTTAGTACATTACTACTTTGCTCAGCGTTAAACCAACTTTAAAACAAAGTCACAACCTACACGTATATGTGTATTGGATTCTTATCTAAATATTTAAACAGTTTATAAATCATCCTATTCATAGCTACACATTCGCAAGTAATTCGATTCTGGTTGAGTATAGACAGTATAGTGAATCAAAATAGTATTCTGTGATGAATCTTTCTAGTCATTTGTAATTGAATGTTATGGGAATAATATTTAGTTTTCTATGTTTTGTTCGATTAAAAGTAAATATTTCGAGAATATATTATTTCTTACGAAGACTCTACAGTAAAAGATCTTCCTCTTTGTTCGTTAAATTAACCATATGATACATAGAGTTTTTAGTTATTATTTAGTTCGAAATGACAATAATTGCGATTATCTACTGTGCACAATGTCTATCCATATACTCAACATCAAGTTAAGACACAGAAAGAATGCCAATATATATATATACATATATATATAGGTATATATATACATATATATATATATAATATGTGTCATTTGGCATTCTTGAAATATTCTCAGAGATCTCCTCATCTTCTATTATTTCGGTAAAAAGTTCTTTGCACCGCTAACATTACATTCGTGGCATTATATTACATTTAAATTATTTATGCAGTATGTAATGTATTTTTATACATGTATTTTTGAATCGCAAATAATCATATTTATCCTTAGATCTGATTTATTCTCTGTATGTCATACTGACTTTGAAAGAAATGCGAATGAATTGCGCACATGCGTATATGTGTAGAAAAAATTACTTACATTAAATGACGTTGATGAAAATAACAATGTGAAATTATATGAGGGTGAATTTCATGCAAGAATCTTGTCTCCAATACAACATAATATACAAAGACCCATGACTCTTGTCAAATGTCCATATATTTAGATCCATGACTCTTGTCAAACGTCCATATGTGTAGAAGGTTGTTGAGATATGAATGGTTCACTCCACATCCGACGTAAATCTCCCTGAAAATAAACAATTAATAAACATAATCTTTTATGTATTTTACTTTGTACATCATTCTGTGACATATACATTTATTTATAAAACAAAGTACCGCTAAGGATCTAATTTTTCATAATTGTGATAAAATCCGACATAATTTTTTAAATTATTTTCTAGCGTAATTAAATTTACAATTAATATTACATATAATGTTTCAGATTTTATATATATATATATATATGTATGTATACCTTCATTTACATATATTTTTTTGATATAGAGAATCAATTTTTCTTGAGAAAAAGTAAAGAGAGTATATATCTTTCACATGTTTCCACAATTTGTTTAACATTAAATAAATATCTTTATATAATTAATTTTTAAATCATAATTATAATAAAATATTATTTTGCAATCAAAAAAAAATATATTTTATCATCTATTTACTTTTTGTAACTTTGTTAAAAAAAATTCCTGTTTTTAATTGTTTTTAGATTTTATAGTTTTATAGTTTTAATAGTTAAATTTCAAATTGTAAATACCAAGAACAAAATTTATATAAATACATCTTTTATTTAAAGTAATTTGCCAAACAATTTATCAAAGCTTTTTACTTTTATCTTAAAACACAATTTTTGTATATATGTCACATTAGACTAAATAAGAAACATAACGGTACCTTCAAATACGCCATTGTGAGCAGCGGCAACAAAGTGAAGGGCACAAGGTACAATAAGGCAGGCTGTGCAGCTTTGAACACCTCAGAGCTTACAGTGGCGGTGAGTAGACCAAGAAAATAACCAATCAAAGAGCAATGAAAATAACTAATTCGGCTGAAGTGGCGCGGTGGTGGTACTCCGGTTTCGCAGCCACCGGGTAATAGCTGAGTCTTTTTGTATGCGTCGTATCGCAGAACAAAACAGAGCAGTAGACCCGGCATGACAATATCGCCGAGGCCCAACATTGAAAAATGTCCCGCTTGATGTATCGATGGAAAAACTAATTTTCCAGGTAAAGGTAATTTCGGCGCGGCTCTCGCCACACCGCCTAAGTGTAATCTTCTAGCCACGAGACTTACTGGATTATCTGCAGGCCTAGTTGCTACCTATAATAGTAATAAGAAAAACAAATTATACATATTTTATATTATTGTTATATACGTGATTGTTATATACTCTGTGCCGAAAATAATCTTTAATAGACACATTGTACAATTCCGTTTATTACTCTTATCTTACACAATGCATCATCATAAACAAAAAAATACTGCATGCAAAATGACATTATAAATATATTTGAAAAGAATACAATATGTTTTTTATCGTAAATAAATAATGATATTGATAGAAGATTTAATTTAACATTTAACAAAACTCTCTTACCTTAACCATTACGTTTGTGCTGAATATGTAGGACGAAAAGAAAACCCAGAAGACATCATAAATCAGCAGTCCGGTTAATAACAATGTGGATACCTTGAGACTAGGTAGTCGAACAAATGCAATAAACGCCACGCACAGGCCCATACCCATTGCATCCATCAGCAGCCAATGTCCAGTCAAAACCCAGATGCATACTATACTCACACTGAGTGAAAATGAGAGTAATTCCGCACCCGTAAATCTCCCACAGACACCGAAAGATATTTTGTTACCATCAGAACACGGTCTAATGATATACTGACACATGGGCAATAACAGAAACGCCAATGCAACTGTAGCTATAACTGCAAAGAAACAAAAAAACAATATAATTTATGATGACGTAGACCCATATCAAGTGCTTTACACCGTTGGGTACTTTCCAATTGTCAAAAATCATTAGACACTTTTGTGCACACAGTGACACAAGTTGTGTTTCAATTACCATAATCGTCGACACAATACTACATATCCGATATATATAGTACTCAGAGCTCGAGAGCTACTAGTCGGCTGAATAAGCTTGTCTTTTTTAGCGACAATTACATGTCACTAATCGTAGTAGTTACAAATGAGAGACTGGAAGCCTCTGGATCTCTGAACTGGAGAAGCTGAGCGGCCAGGCCAGTATTTTTGCCTATTTTCATTCTATACAGATGGAAAAACTTACATTTACTCTAACTCTATCTGAAACTGTGCACAACGTACACATTCTGTTCCAATAGAATCGTGCACAATGCTTTGTGAATTCTTGTGTACGTTTGTATTAAGATGTATCAAGCAATTGGAAAGCACCCAATATATAATAATGCTTATTCCAAATGAAATCTGTTATCAAACGTACTGGCAGTACAAATTGCAAGAAGCATCTGCATACTGTCAAAAAAGAAAAACATGATGAGTAGAGAAATGGAAGCACCGAGAGGTAGACAGAGAGCATGCATCGTATCGAGAGTTTGAACTCTTCCTCCGTTAATGCAGTCCGGATTACCGGCGCTACTATTACTGGTAATCCCAGTCAATAAATTACTACGTTCCTTCTCCTTTTCTCTTTCCCTTGCCTCTTGCTCCATGTTTAGAGATCGGAAACTACCGTAAACTATCAGTAGAATTGATATTAGGAAAGTGGATATCCTGGATGAATCCATTATAGAATAAGCCCTGTAAAGAGTCACAATAATATGATATAAATGTAACTAGCGAAAAGAATTTTATATATATATATATATATACGAATATCAATGAAAGATAAGACATGCACTAACCACTGGTAGTCAACTTGATACGTGGCCATGTTTAAGAATGCCTGGCCTCAGCACTCAAGCGCTATGCGACAACACCTCCTGACATTTAGATGTCCGTTGTTCAAGTGCTTTTTACTTGCACTAACCTATATCAGAGATCATCTGCTACTAGAAAAAGAAGAGATTGAACAGCGTTAACTCTGACTGATGAATTTACATTAATGACGGCAAGGCTGTCAAAGGACCGAAATCGCAAACGCAAAACATACCTGGTATTCCTCGAGTACCGCATTATTGGCGAATGGAATTAGGCCTGTGGAAGCCTCGGGTCACCACCTTAGCGGCGCAATGTAAGGAAATAAAAAAGATTCTAGCGTGAGGATTCTTACAGTGCGGACGGCGAGCGGATCGAGGACAAGCTCGGTGCGGCGAGATGAATCAACTGAATCAACGACATCGCGAAAAACTCGGTCTAGCGTAATACCATCGCGCGGCTAGGAGGCGATCGTCGTAGCGAGACTGCCTCCGCGTCGAGTTCTGGCATCTCTCGCGATCGCATCCACTTTCCAACTTTCGCCCGTAAAGATGCGCTGCGTCTGCGTGCGTGGCGTAGTGGCGAAATTGAACGCTAGCCGAAAAGAATGCAAAGGAGAAACGGGGCCGACGACGGATCGACTCGTCCAGGACGCGACGGGATGGGACGCGACGCGCGACGCCGCGGCCGTGTCGAGACGATTGGAACGCCGAAGCACGAAGCACGAAGCACGAACTGCACGAAGCACTGCGTGCGCGTTCGCTCTCTCTCTCTCTCTCCCTCTCTCGCTCCGCGCACGTAGCGTAGCACAGCTGATCGCAGCTATTTACGCAACCGAGCGCCGCGCGGCCGCTCCCGTGCGGACGGAACGCAGTGCCGTTCGTATCGCACCATGGACGTTCACCATTTTGGTAAACACTCGGGTCACGTGATCCCCCGCTGGCCCCCAAGAGGTTTGCTACTCCCTTTACTCCAGAAAACCGCTCGCGCTCGCGCTCGCCTCGCGACCGAAATCTCGTCTCACACGGCTGCACTCTGCAGGACACGCGACGCGGCTCTCACCTGGGCGATCCGAAGTCTGGGCCCGCGACAGAACTTCGCATCACCTCATCGGCCTACCGTGAGCGGTCGTCGACAAGCGACACCGTGAAAACGGGATCGTAGGTAGTAAGTACAGTACAACGACACGCTGAGCCTGAGAGCAGAGTGTCTATCACACGGCGGTCGCGGTCGCGATCAGTGCGACCACCGGGACCGGGCACCGCTGACGGCTGACCGCACTCTATACTCAACTCTACCGCCGACCGCGGACCGCGGTGTGACTGTGTGAGAGAAATGAGATATTGAAAACTGTTGAGAACTACTGCGCGCGGCGCGGCGCGGCGCGGGTCAACCACTGCTCGAGGCTCGAGGCTCGCCGCTCGAGCGCAAGTCTGCCGCAAGCACGTCTACCGGGTGTTTAGAAAACTCCTCGTCGTACGATTGCGAGAGATCGCGGCCAATTCATCTGATATACTTGTGGAGATTGGAGAAACGAAAACGTTTCAGCTACTTATTTTTTTGCAGCTTTTTTTACCGAAATACTTAAGCACTAAGATATCCGCTTTTACACCTTTATTATACCTCATTTATTCTCATACATCGCGCATCGGTCTAATTAAGAATTATTATTATTATTTATATACAATATACACTCCTCTTTGAAAAACGACGTTTTTTTTGTTAGTCATTAGTTATATATTGTGATAAATATTGCCGAAGCCTTTTGCAGTGATTGAATTTTCGCACCTTAATTTCGTACTATATCTTTCTTTCTATTTTAAGAATGTCTAAATTTATAAAGCTAAATTTAGTCACAGTTTGTGATACGCGTATGTATTTTAATATATATTTTATGGCCCGTATTGTAAGAACGCGCTTACAACGATGTTAGCGCGCGCTATACTTGCAGAGATAAAAGCGCCTTTTGAATACGGGCCTATATATGTATGTGGTTTATATTTGGTGCGTTCCTTATCGCGCATGATGTGCATGATGCATCCATTGTCCTTATTTAACGTTTGGTGAACAACAAGGATAAACGATGCATTATGCGCATCATGCGAGAAACGGAACGCACCCATTGTGTTTGTGTGTTTTTATAGCTGGATTATAACATGTAGCATGTAAAATTATAAGCAGAATACTATTCTGAATTCTGATATGAATTGAAAATCGTTTAAAATGGGCTTTAATTTGAAATTTAAATTGCAGAAGAGTGCAATGTGGAGAAACTATTTTGAGTGTTAAAAATGGAAATAAATTACAATATAACACAACGTTACCTTTAAATAAAACTCAAGTGTAACTGAAAGTTTTATGGCGTAACATATTATATATTATATACTTTATTCTTTTTACTCTATACTCTATATGAAATTGTCTGAGAAAATTAAAAAAAGATATATATATATTTCATTTCCGATGTTATTAATCGTAAGCACAAGGTTGGATAAAATATATGAAAATAAGATTATACCCCTGTACCTCTTATAAATATGTAAAAGTATAATATATGCGTGAAATACTTGAAATATCTTTCAATGAAAAAAATCAAAGATCAAGGTACTGAAAATATATAGTATACGTAAACTGTAGATTTTCAGCTTTACTGTGTGGCAGTAAATTTTGGAACACAGCCCAAGTAAAATTCTAGACTTGATGGTGATAGGCGTATTTCCGTATTAGACCGAATATGGCAGAATTAACCGCTAAATTTTAAGTTCGAAAATGAATTTGTGAACTAAATGACAAATTTATAGATTTAATAATGCACCGACAAAGTATTATTATTAATACTACCTTACGAAAGTTAAGTGCGTAACAAAATCTGGATAGTTAACTTTTAATGCAATGTTAAATTTAATAATTTATTATTATCTAGATGTGTTTCGCGTACTACAATACGTTAAAACATAAAAATGCTATTCGGTTTAAATGTAATAAATTAAATTCTACAACATATGTATACTTTGCTATTTGTAACTAAACTTTTTTATCTTTTTTTTTTTTATTCTTCAATGTATAATTTTACATCCATTTTATTTTGAATATAAACAGTGCAATATACAGCAATTATGAAAAACAGATTTAAAAATCATACATGGTCATGTTTAGATTTAGGGGTCTCTGATTCTTAATGACTATAACGATATCGTAAGGTGTCGTCTACAATACACGGAGTAAGAAATTGACCAATCACAGTCGATTATTCTTCTCACATTCGACTGTGATTGGTCAATTTCTTACTCTTACTTCTTACTCCGTGTATTGTAGACGGGCCTTCAATCTTTAATGCGTAGCCTGATTAGATGCGGTCACAATGCCTAGTTTACACCGAGGGTTCGATCCGAGTCGGAATGTAAAAATCAACCAACTGCAGTCGAGCATTCCCTAGTGATTCGACTGTAACAGGGGAATGCTCGACTGCAGTTGGTTGATTCTTGCACTCTGACCCGGCTCGAACCCTCGTCGGTGTAAACTAGGCCAATATGGCTGCTTCAAGAGGGGATACCCAATCAGAATTAGATATTGGACTGCCAACCAGGAACTCGGACATCAATGTCGGGTCTCTTTATACGTAGGACTCTATGGAGGACGTGTCGCCATCACTCGCATCTTGCCACATCTTGCATCCATCAATGACATTGGTGTCAAGGGTTAGGTTAGGTTAGATGAGCCGTCAGTGAGAAACGTGGCGTGTGACTTGTGAGTCGTGGCGGCCGTGGCTCGTCGTAGAGAGGAAAGGAAGAGAGGCTCCACAATAGGGCCTGCCACTGCCAGTGTCGCCAGTGATCGACCGTCTCCTCGCTTAACAATAGACCACGATTGACTACGGTCTGCATACTACACTTGGACAGCTTGGACTACACCTGTGCTTGAACCAGTCCAAACGAAGCGAACTGCGAAGCGAAGCGAAACGAAACGAAACGAAACGGAACGAGTGAAGAAGAGAGAGTAGTGGGCTGATCGGGAGGGGAAGGAGAGCACTACCCCCTTCTCTCCTCCTTCCACGAGGAATTACCAAAAGGCAAAATGGTGGCGCGGTACAACGCAGACGGGTGATGTGTAGGCAGATATCGGCTCGCATCGCGTTCGTATCAGGGAGGTGCGAGATACGCGAGTGTGACCTGCGTGAGCACGCTAGGTCGACGGCAGCATGGGCGACCCGAAGAGTCAGCACGGCACGCAAGAGATGAAAGGCTGGCTTTTCAAATGGACCAACTACCTGAAAGGTTACCAACGAAGATGGTTCGTCCTGTCAAACGGCCTCCTGTCGTACTACAGGTAGTTTCCTACGTGTCGTCGGTTCCGTCGACGTCGTCGACGTTCAATTACCGCGAGCGTGCGCTCCTCGTCGCGTCGTCATCTAGTTACTTACGTTCGCTATTTTAACGGCGCGATCGATCTCTCGACGTCGTCGTCGTTGCCGTCGCCGCCGCCGCCGAGATCGCGACACGCGATTCCCCGTTCGTCCTTCTGACTCGGTTTCATCTACTCGGAGAAAAAAAAAATAGATAAAAAAGAAGAGTAAAGGAGACAGGAGAGCAGCTCGGCTGTTCCCCGTGTTGCGCATCGCGATTAAGCGATTAGGTTATGTGCGCGGTGATGGAACTCTTTTTCGATCGCTCTCCCGCTCTCAAAAATAGCCTGGCAACAGCTTACAGCTGTCATAATGAGTATTCGCGATGTCTACGCGACCGACGCGACGCGACGCGACGGGGAGGGAACATACATATGTTACGCGTCCACCCGCACCGCTGCGATTTCCGCTCTCTATGTGCGTAGAAGTTAGATAGTTTCGGAATTCGGCTACGGTACCTGTCAGGTGCTTTATATTAGAGATAAGAGAGCCTTTTATCCGCGGCGCATGTCAGCTCGACCGACGCGCGGGAAGGAGGAAACTAGTAAATCTATCGCGTGACATTGTAGTCTTAAGGGTCCTCTACATACAAGTCGTAGACGGTCGTGGAGTCTTAAATCGTAGGAAACTGACCAATTCTAATTAAGTATTCTCCTTATATTTGATTGTAATTGGTCGGTTTCCTACTTTGGGCTCGTTTCTCGAGCCGTAGTTCTAACTAAATAATCGTTCATTAAACATAGTTAGTGAACGTTTTTTTATGTTTACTTACAGTTGTATGTCCTGTTCAAAGAAATATGTTAAGTATTTACCTAGTAAATATTTTTTCAGAGTACTTTCTATCTTTTTTTTCTAATTCTTAGAACTAGAAAAAGATGAAGGACTAGTTGGAATTGTAATAGTTGGAACTAGAAAAAAAAATAGAGAGTACTCTGAAAAAAATATTTACTAAATAAATACGTATTTCTTGGAATAGTACTAAATAATAGATATTTACAGTAAATAAATATTTATTCGATTAAAAAAATGATAGTTAAATTAATGGTTTTTTGGTATCAAATAAATACATATTTACTAAATATGTTTAATAAATGTTTAAATAGAACTATTCACACAAACGAATATTTATTGGAGCTCAGTTTTTTTCTTTCAATGTAAGTGTAGAACTGAGATTATAAAATTAATTTATATTGGTAGAAACGGACATTACAAATAGCTTGGCGTTAAGATACATTAGTATGAGTAAGTGAGAGAGAGAGAGAGAGAGAGATCCAAGTATTGGATGGGAGCATTTAGACAGAATGCATGTGTGCATTATGAGCAAGCTTTGCGATTCTCTACGTTTTTCAATAGTATGACGTATAATTCCACCATCTAGTTTATCCAACGCCGTTCACTCGAATCTTATGATAACGTTCATCTCCTGGATTGATTTTACCTGGATTCCAGATTTACGTGTATTTGTCAGCATATTAACGTATATGTACGGAATATGTAAGAGTCATACACGCATCGCAGGTGTAGCGTGTCGGGCAACAGTCAACGGTTACATAAAAGCGTGACAAAACTCCTTATGGATGATGATGTGAATATGGATGACGATATTGCATACACTCGCTCGCGTCTACAGGATACGTCACAAAGTGCGTATAGGGATCAGTAGGAAGAATTTTTCATACAGCAAATATTTCACAAGTATTTCCAAATATTTCATTGCGGAATTTGAAATATTTCAAAAATTTTTCATGTTCCAGAAAATCAAAGTTTTTGAAATATTCTTTTTTTACAATATTTGTACAATATTTCTAAAATATTTTTGTGTAATGTTTTAAAGCGTTTTGCAAATGTTTACGAAAAATATATATATATGTCTAAAATATTTTATTAAACTACTTGAAAGAATTGTTTATCTAAATTATAAATATTTATATTCGTGTTGTGTCGATCTTGATGAATTTGGAGTCGAGTCTTCTTGGAGGCTGTGTTTACTTGACAGGAATTAAATTGAAAAATTATTTAAGATTGACAATACAGTTACGATTTTTTATGTGTTACCCGTGCAATGCTGAGTTCCACACGGCATGAAATATTTATATGTAAATTATTTGAAATATTTTTTGAAATATTTTAATAACATATTTCAGAAATATTTTTTGTAAACGTTTGTAAGACGTTGTAAAATATTGCGTTAAAATATTTCACAACAATATTTTTAAAATATTGTTGTGAAATATAAATATATATCGTAAGAAGAATATTTCAAACACACTGTGATTTTCTGTGTACATATTTATATTTTAGAAAGATTTCATGAAAAATTTTTGAAATATTTTACATCTTGCAATGAAAAATATTTTAAAAATATTTCATACTGTATGGAGTATTACACGTATGATAAATTTATCAAGCCTGTTGATTGGCTATAGGAGAAAGAAATCTGAGAACCTCTCTGGTTTATTTCTACCAATCTCTAATTAATTTTAATCTTTTTCTGATTCTTCGAACTAAGAGAATTAAGATAAAAAGTAAATTAAACCAAGATTAAAGCTAATTTACATTGATAGAAATGATAGAAAACGTCTGTCTTGCAGCGAATTAACAAGCTTGAAAGATTTGTCGTGCGACAAACGTATAATATTTATTATGGGCTTTCTACAATAAGCCATTATCTATGTTTGAAACCTAAGTTGTAAGAAATTAAACGGTCACGTGTAAGTAAGAATAGTAATCAACTATGGAGTGGTCAGTTTCTTACGGGTTAAGATTTAAAGACTCTTAGGTAATAGCTCACTGTAGAAAGCCAATTATAGTCGAAGAATGCGGTTCCGAAAACGATATATAATTTTACATTACAACCCTCACATTTGACGACGCGTCGGAGGAAGTTTATTACGTACATATCTATACATCTCTCTCACTTTAATATTATGAGACTTATCGCACTTGACCGCTTATACCTGGCGCTTTTTAGTTCGCAATGATAATACCTTTCCCCAGCCTGACAATTTTTACGTGAATTTCGTTCTGGGAGCCCCATTGGAATTAATGAAATGGTGCAATACGAATTTCCAACCCATCTGTATCTCGTGCAGTCACGTTATTTTCGCTTAAGTAGAGCAGCCACGTTTTCTCACAAATGATTGCGCACCGGCTTCCGAAAACATTTTTTTTGTTTTTTTTTTTTTTTTTAAATTCAATTTCAGCACTCCGCTTGGCACAGTTTGTGTGATTTGAGTTTGCAATGCCTTTCTGAGGATTGTTCTCTCTGGTACGTATTATATAGTACAGATCCGTCGACGTATAAGAATATTTTATTCTCAATTGTCTGTCGTAAGGCTTTTTCTCGCACAGTATAACACGCGTGCACGCAAAAATCACACAGCTCGCGTTATGAACCGAATGAACTTTACATCTCGCGTCACCGTGTTGACCGGTGTCCTTTTTTTTCCCCCCCCCCCCTCGAAGAGAAAAGATTGCCTATATATGTTCTTGCCTACTCCTGACGGTGGGTAAAGGAAAAAAAAAAAAATCGAGAAAACAGAACGAAATTTCGAGCAATAAGCTTCGCCACAGTGTTACACAATATGAACGGGGTCTGTTTGTTTTATGGATTGTTTAGGGCTGAACCAACAGGGGGGCCAAAGATATCATCGCGACGCAAGCGGAGAGCTGGCAGAGCCTCCGAGTAAGTAAAAAAAAGATACAACAAAACAAAAAAGATTAAACGAAATATGCGAAATCGCATATCCCGACTGCCCCCATCCCTTTCCGCGAGTTTGTAATTAAAAAACAGCCTCCACGGACGTTTGTGTTCCCATTTCCCATCTTTGATACTCAATTGCGCGCGCGCGCGCGCATACACACACGCACACAAACACATTATGTAACTTTACATCTTTTCGTGCAACTTCAATTTATTGATGACCCTAATAAAAAAATCTCTCTCGCTTTCTCCACGACTTTACCTACCTGGGGAGGGGCCGTATTTTCGAAAAATATCGCATACAAAAATACTATATAGTATACGATATATCACGTATGTTATATAATAGATTTCTCGAATATTTTGGTATACGATATATTTGAAAGTAAGATCTTTGCAACGTGTCAGAGTTGTATTACGTATTATCTGTACGTGTGAATATAAAAATTAAACGTTTCCTCGTAATGTACGCTAAACCATGCTAAATGTAACACTTCTCTCTTGTGTTCTCTATTATCCTTTTTCATTTTTTTTTCTTTGTCTCTCCTTATTTTTCTCGTTCTCTCTCTTCATGCGTGTATGTGTGTGTGTGTGTGTGTGTGTGTGTGTGTGTGTGTGTGTGTGTGTGTGTGTGTGTGTGTGTGTGTGTGTGTGTG